ACCAACTGGAACTAATAGTTGACGCGCGTACCTGTTTAAAGATATAGGCTGGGCAGGTATAATCACAACTGCGGTTTGAGCCCCCACAGCCCAGTTAGCACACTACGTCTTATGGACGTCTAAACTGTCTGACATCAGATAGCTGGTCATTTGGACAGCCAAATGACCGCAACATGACACATCTGCCAGACGTCGGCTAGACGTCCGCTAGACGTCTGCTTATTGACGTCACTTAAACGTCGGTGTTAGGTCTGTACATGGTCAGTACAATCACTTTATATTGAGGAAATATTTTGGTTACAATAAGACACTATAGAATCTTGAGATGGTTACAACTTTAATTAATTGAAAGTAGTTCTGACCAGCCACAAAAATAGTAATAAAAACCGGAGGACAGATGAAAAAAAACTACCATTCTTACGAACCCGTTTAAAATAAAACTCTTTTCATTCCAAAAGGCCTCCAATTGCTGTCAGCTAGGACTTTGTCAGTAAGAGCGTTTCTAAACGCTTTCCTCCCCTTAATCGGAGGTCACAGCACTTCTTGCTTGAGTAGTATGAGCCAGTTCTGGTTGATCACTGCCAGGGTACTGCCCGCAAGTTCGTCTAACTGTACGACAGTCAATGCTGACAGACAGGCAATTCGTGATTTAGTGGACCTCCATATATATCTGACTAATAGACGTCCAAGTATTGACGCCTTTCAGACGTCTTTTCTAGTTTCTTTCTCAGTTGGTCAGTTGTGCTACCTGGGGTTATGCACAATTTGTGGGGCAAATGTGGAAATAAACAATCTGGCGGATATAAGGTTAAGTTTCATCCCTATTGGTCTGTCATAAAATTTGTCAGATGGCCAGATGGAACAAAAGATTTGTCTGTATATTAATTTATGCGCTTCAAGGCCTGTTTTTCCGGGCAAATTTTGGATTATGGCAAAAATCGGGATTTTTACAAAAAAAGTTTCAAATAAAACGTGTTCGAAATAGGAAACACCACAATATGAGTAGTATTGGAAAATTTTCATTTATTCTCGTTAGCCCAAATCGGCTGATAAAAATGGTTAGAATCTTAAATTTGTACAGTTTCCCAAAAAAATTCATTTCTGGCCGACAGCGGCATTTTTTCAAAAAACGTTTCAAATAAAAAGTGTTCGAAATAGGCCACACAACAATATGAGTGGTATTAAAGTTTTTTTTATTCATTATTGTGAGTCCAAATCGGCTGATGAAAATGGTTAAAATCGTAAATTTATACAGTTTCAGGAGAAATGGCCATTATGGCCGACAGCGGCATTTTTTCAAAAAAAGTTTCAAATAAAAAGTGTGAAGACAGGCACAAGCTACAATTTGATAATTTTTTAATATTTATTCAGTTATCGTGAGGCACGCTAGAGCGAAAATAAAATGTCCAAAAATCGCAGTCGCCAAAAAGACAACACTGATCCGGACAAGGCGCCCATGTATGAGAAAATTCTGAACAAGCTAAATGAGTCGATAGAAAATCTGGAAAAGGCCGTCAAGATCGGAGATAGTGGTAAAATTAACGAGGCTCAAACTAGATTTATCACTGAA